GCATACATTTAATTGCGATGAAAATATTTGTGATGACCGACAAAGAGCACTGAACACTTGTTTCGCACTTCTGACGAGTCCAAAACAGGACGAGACTTACATCATAAAATTTGTGAAGCAGTGTGGTTTTTAAGCAGTGGATGTTTATCACTTCTAGCAGCCGAAATGTCCTGCCTTTCAAGGCTTTCTTAAATCCCGGAACAGTTGGTCTGTCTCGAGTTGATGACGGGGTTTAGTGAGTGCGCAACTGAACTTGATTACAGTTTGTCATCACGATAGAAAATACACACATACCGGTTGATATTCGACGTTTACCTCTCACATGTCCACTTGTTTTGACATAATGCAATAATGGGAAACGATCTTTGACATATTATGTACAGTGTAGACACAATCCGTTTGAAGTCAATTTTCCGTGGCTGTTAGACAATGCATAACTTCCTAATGATTCAATATTCTGACACGAATAATATCTTCATCCCTGGGTGTTCATGCATAACCACCCACATCCGTTTGGAAGACAATGGTCGTGGGTTGCCGATCAATCGGATTGTTTTAGTCGGTTTACCCTAATCGCTATGATTCCTTTTAAGTTTACCTACGTTGATAGATGTATCCTGAAATGCTTCCTTTACAAATCGTCTAGTGTCTTCTTTTCAGAAATAGTACTTCTCTAAATGAGACGTGCGATGCTAAGATTAGTCACGAATAATTGAGTATTTTACTCTGCACGGATTTCGTGTCTGATACTGCTAGGCTGTCGAGACTTGGTCGTGCGTCTTCACACGTCCCCCCCTCGAATGGACTTACTCAACAGTTAATATCTTCTGAGCAAGCTAGCAACCGTAAACACGTCAGGCACTTCAAGATTAAGCTTGGCGTTGGAAGTATGTAAATCTTAATTGATGGGCTTTATCAGTGAGCTTGTATCATGCTTCTTTATTCCTGATACTCGACAGTATTGCCTGAACTTGCTTGTCCATTCATTTCATTTATCTCATCTTTTATACGCTTTTCACTTTTTCTTCATTCTTTGACGAGATGGGATACAAATTCAGAACACAACACTGCAACGGGGTGAATGTACTAGCCAAACGACATTCAACTTCCATCTGTCGCTGACTCTAACGTGGAAACTATGCTCTATTGTTTTGTGGCATTTTCATTTTTTCAATTAGATAGATGCACTGATGATAGGGTTACGATGTTTGTTCGTCCGTTAACTATATTCTATTCGAAGCGGTCGCTGTTATATTGCTCTTTCTTTCATGTATTTAGAACAAGAACAATTTTTTTAATTTACATCCGAATATTGGCTTTGAAAGGCAAACTAGTGGGTTTTTAGTGGTTATTACTCCATTGAAATGCGTTATTTTTGTGTTTTTGACTGCGACTCATTTTTCGATCGCACAAATATACATCTCCGATATTCTTTTTATAGCAGTATTGACTTTCAATTTTGTTACTTTCTCAGGAGCACATCGGAGAAACCCCAGTTGATACAGGCTTTATGGAGCCCCAGACTAATCAACTTGTGGAGTGCACAGACCCTCGTACGTTCCCTATTTTTGTTCGCAAATCTGTATGGATTACTTTTAATAGTGTGACTTCTTCGTCCTTAAACTGATCCTTATCTTCTATTTATTTATCATCATCATCATCATTATACAGAATCTCAACCTCCTACCGAAACCTGTGCTGAACAGCGTGTCAGTAGCTCATCTGTTTCTGAAATGAACGAATCGTTTCCTCGGGGCTCAAGTCCTCCACCCATAGGATCCACGCCACGTTCACAGAACAACAAGACATCTCTCGCAGAACAGGGGTCGAAGGTGAACAGTTCAGATATGAAGGATGAGTCGGAGTATTCGTTCAGTCTGCAAGGTCGTCCGTTTTTGCGTGCTCTCTATCGGGCTTTGGAAGTTGGTCCTGGCACCGATTACGACACACTGTTCACACTACTCCTACTACAGGCGATTAGGAACAATAAAGGTGAGTATGGTCATTGAACTATTGTCTATGCCGATCGGGAATGCGTTCGATTATTAAACTGATTTAACCTCTAAATCATATTACTTCTATGGGTGTATAGATATCTCTCTCTCTCTCTCTCTCTCTCTCTCTATATATATATATATATATATATATATATA